GCAGAGAAGAGGGTGAAGCAGAAGGAAATGATACAAACTCACAAATTTTGCTCATTGGCTCAGGTGACGGAGAGGCAGGGCTAAACCCCTTATTGAGGGTGGACATTAAATTGTTAAAGGAAAACTAACACTTCAGAGGCAGCTGCACAAATCACTTTAGCCTTAGGACACTAGTAATTTGTGCTTTAACAACTTTCCTGGATAAATAAAAGGGTACAGAGGCTGCTGCATCACTTGGTGTGCTGCTGAAGTGGAGGTGGCCGTAGGGGGGGAGGATTGCTTCCAGCAGCACTCGGTGCTTCTGTGCTGTGGTACTTGTTCAGAAGCGTCCAGATCTCGGTCGTATTTTAACAAAGATGCTGATAACGAAACTAAGGATGATCACCACTTCCTCAGCAATTTTGAGGTTTGATTATATTCTCGTGGTGACTTTTTTGGCTGACTTTGTTTATTCCTTTCATTTTAAAAGTCGTGTTTTAGCAAAAAAAAAAAAAAAAAAAAAAGGCAGCAAACTTTGGGGGTAAATGGATGATGGTAATAGTTCTCCGGTTTGCTTTCATGTGATGAGTTTTCAGTCGATGCTACTGGCGCTTCTTTTATTTTCCCTTATTCTGCAGTTGTGGCATCTTGTGGTAATTCTGTGAGTTAGCATCTGGCAGGGAAAAACGAGAAGTAGTCTCGTTATTCATGTGACTCGCTTCATAGCGTAGTGGAATGAGGATGTTTCCATAAAAGAAAGCTGATTTATATAACATCATATTGTTACCAAAATCCCCATGTTTTCACACCGCCTTTGGTTTAGCAGCTGGTTGAGGTTTCTGTCCGGAGGATGTGTGTGTCGGGGGTGATAAAAGCTGCTGCCGAAGGGTGCTGGGGGCTGCTGGCGGGTCGGTGCTGGGCCGCGCTTTCCTCGTGGCTGGGTTTGGCGATAATGGCGCCGTCCGCAGAGCGATCCCTTGATTTCTGCCCTTCTGCTGACACACACGCTATGTTGTACAGTGTATTCTTTCATCTGAAGGATATGAGGGAACAGATGTCTGCTGCTTTTTAAACGGAGCAGCTGAGAACCCCTCCGCTCGTGAACTCGGTGCTGGGAGAACTGGAGGCAAAGCAAATAAACCATCCCGGGCAGCTCGGTGCAGGATCACGGTGGTTGCAGTGTCATCTCTCTGTAGTCTAGAAAATCTCCTTTTTACCAAGATTAACAACTTCTGCCTGTGTCCCTCCACTCTTTGCCCAGTTCCTCTCCTTCCCTGGGCTCACCAGAGCCACAATTTCAGCCAGTTGGATAAAAAACATGAGTTAACTTCTCCTTAAATAACCCAGGCAAGGTAGTTTTCTGTCAAAGATTGAAGAATACATGTGGGCATACTATTGGAAGGTAGATATGTGCTTTAGTTTCAGGTATTATTTCAGCTGATGAAAAGCTCTGAAAACAAAGGTTATAAAATAAAATAATGTTGACCTTAGTCCCTAGTTTAGAGCATGTGGAGAAATCGTTTTTCATAAATAATGGTGTTTTGGTTGGGTTTGGGCAGAAAGGAGTATGTAAAGACGTTATAGGGAAGGCTATGGAAAGGGTCTGTAACTTTCCAGAAGATACTTTGTGTTCTGCTGTTGCAATGCTGATTGTTGCCCTTTGGCATCCTCCTTTTATAGCCCTTTCTTTTCAGAGTGGGTGTCTGAAAATGATCTCTAACCCTTCGTACTGTGGTTATGTGTTTGTTGTTTTATAACCGGTGTGGCGACATAAATTAGGGTATCGCTTTTTAAAAATAACAGCTTCTAATCCTATTTTCAGTTTTATAAACCTTGGAGAAATGAACGCTTTCATCTCTGGTGGAGGATTTTTTGGGTGCGTGGTGCCGCTGGGCTGGTGGGGTCTGTCCAGGTGGCCCCAGCAACTGCCCGTCATCGGCCCCTCGCTGCCTCCAGCTGCCGTGGCATGAAGTTATGTTCCTTACTTGCAAAAATATAAATCAAGACTTGAAGTGTAGTCTCTGAAACATAATTTCAGTGCTATTATAAGCACTTATTCTTAAATGAGATGGGAGTAATGGAGAGAAATTTGCAAAGTACGACTGATACGAAATTTTCGTGTTATCAGAAAAACCCGGGCTAGATTAGCTGCGCATAACCTGCCTGGTTAGACTTTGAAGTGGCATGTGAGGGAGAAGAGGAATTTCACCTGGCTGGCTGTAAAGAATCAGTTTAAACAAACAAACAAAAAGGATCATTTCAACAAAACGTGTAAACCACATTGGATGGGTACATTCGGCGCACTGGAGGAAAGAGACAGCCCGCAGACCTCCCCGTCAGATGTGATCACTGAGTTAGCTCTTGGGCTTAGTGGCACCTCACAAAATCGCTTATTCTGCTTAATTAGAAGAGGTTTAAAAGTCAGTTAAATTAGTCAGTTTAAATTAGAAGAGCTTTAAAAGTCAGTTATCTTTAGGGAGAGCATGACAGATCCATTTTAAAAAATGCCTATAGAAACTGATCTGTGAGTAGCTAATACGTTTAGCTTGTTGAAATGTCACCTGGCTGGATAGAGAACTATATGATGTTTCTTATTTTATTTATCAATGTTAAAGCAGTAATATTGGCCAGTGTAAGTTAAATGCCTTCTACTGTGAGGAGGGAACAGGGAGTTTTTCCTTCCCTTTCCCATGCTGTCCTCTCTCAGCTCTTTTCTCTGCTGCTGTACGTCTCAACAGCCAGAGTCTGAGCTCAGGGATGCTTTCCAGGCATGAATCCCTTTTAAGCAAATGTTTGTCTCTTTAATTTACCAACTCTTTATTCATCAGGCTCCTAAATAAGCACGGTGGGTCGGTACAGTAGCCCTCTTTGTTCAGCCTGGCTGCAGGTGGATTGCAGGAGACAGCCCATGCTGAATTATCCCGCTGAGGGGCTGCGCTCTGTGCGCTTGCAGAGTGATTCTCCAGTAAGGATGTGGTCGTTTTTCATGTGCACAATTTAAACTTTGTGATTAAACATGAACGAAAGCTTTTGTTCTGCTCACAATTTTCTGTAAGTCATGACAATAGAACTGCTAATCTAAAACGTATTTAAAAGACATTTTGTTATATCTTAAGTCTCAGTTATGTAGGAAAATATTGGAAAATGTCAGAAAGCCTATACAGACGCTGTGAGTTGTGAAGACTGGAAAATTTAGCTTTATTTGTAACTCCAAATACTGGCTCCCCACTGGCTGCCTCGTAGGTGAGAGCACCCGCATCTTGTCCATCCTTCACCTCCTCTGAGCACTGCTCTGGCCCGGAGAGATGGACCTCCACGGGGAGGGGGAAGGACGTAGAATACAGAGGTTTTATTTCAGTTGTTCCATAAATTCTTTAACTACTAAGATACTATTAACGAGTAAGTCGCTAAGTTGGAGGATACTGTGGCTGCATTCCTGTGCCTGAGGGTTTCTGGTGGTGCAGGTGAGGCAGTTCCCTGCTCAGTACCCGAGTGGGTCTGATACCTCCAGCGACCCCTGGGCTGCCAGGCAGCCATCTCGCACAGGCTGCCGTGTTCAAACTTCATCACCACAAGCACGTGGGCTGTTTGGAGTCAGATTCCCAACTAGTGCTCTTGGGCGTTTCACTAAGAAAATCAAGTTTGTGGCAATTCACAGTCGGAGAATTAAAATGAGATTGGACTGTGTGAAACGGGTGCTTTATAAATCTGTGTGTTAAGCATTAAGGCCTTCTGTTTCATTTTTGTGGGTTTTGGTAATGACATTTAAAAAAAACCCAAAATCAGAGTTTTATTAGTTTTACATGGCCGGCAATTACGTATGACCTTTCATTTGATATAACAGTCTATATCCGTTATATTTCTAAACATTGACTATTAAGCCAAAGGACTTTTCTAAAGTAAATCCATTGTAAATTCTGAGGCTAGCATTCATTTTGATTTATCTTTTGTAAACACTGTATAAATGCAGCACTTGAAAATTCAGAACATATTTTCCAAGGCCAAGCTGGAGAGACTGCTGTGTGGTATATAATGATTTTGTTGTGCATGTATTTAACACGAACAGCCCACCTGTTCAGGATAGTAAATTAAATGATGAATAGCCCTAGTGAGCATTTCCCTAGCATGTGGTCTGCACCATCAGCACGGATATTTTTGTGACTGAAGAGGATTCTGTGTAGTGAGAAGTTTAAACAGCTGTATCTCCTAATTACAGCTTCTACGTAAAGTCTGATTTTTAAAGCGAAACAATCTTCATGTTTTAATATTGTTGCTTCAGAAAAGTTGTTTGTTTCTGTGGTTGCTGATGGATGGCACTGATGTGACACCAAGTCTTGGTAGTGGGAGGTGGGAGACAAATCTAAAACCTTCATTGTCTTCATCTTTAGCAAAATGTATTATGGCGTAACTTCTAACGTTATGCTCCAGGCAAGGACTGGACTGGGTTAGAGAGGCTGTAGATTGGAGCAGAGTTTGTAGCAGGGCTTCCAGCTAGCTCTGAGGTGGACATGAAATGGCTCTTCCTCTCTAAACATAACACTTACTGTGAAAAGGCACTGTGGTTCTCTGCACCATATATAGTGGCTAGACTATGTAGTTTAGGTTTTCGCCGGCATTTTTTGCCATTAGCAAACTAATTTTGCAAAATTCCTTCTTTAAAGAGGCGTTACAAGGTTTCAATAGTTTTTGACCTTGGATGAATAGGACTGTCCTGTTTGGCTTATTCTGTGTGTTGCTGCTGTATCCATTCATTCAATAATATTTTCAGAGATGTATTAAAAATCTTTTTCAGGTAAGTGTTTCAGCGTCAGTTGGACTTCACTCTTTTCACTTCCACAATTTAAGCGTGGACGGGGTTCTTCAAGTCTGCACGTGTCCTGACCTATCTGCTAATTTGGGCTTTGTCTCTAGAATAAGTCTGAATAACTTACTGCAGAATCTGAGAAAGTAATGCTGAAGTGATTAGATGCTGTGAATGAAGTTGCTCATGTCTTTTTTTTCTTTTTCTTTTTTTTTTTTAGGACTTAAATACTATCTATTCCTTCCTTCATGGACTGGACATACTCTCACATTTCAGGGAACATCAGCTAAGGTAAAGTACTATGGAGCTAATTGGTGTTGCTTAGCACAACCGGTATCTATAACTGTATTTTTGTGGAGATGAGCAAAGCTTTTGTCTGCCTGCACTCCGAGGTGGCGGAGCATTGGCCAAGCCCGTTGCTGAGTTAAGTCATTGTGACAACGTGGCATGGAGTCTAAACTAACTAGCTTTGCTAAGAATGAAGACAGGGCTTACTCCCACTTGTCTACAAAGGTCTGTGTAGACAGTGGCCTACGTTAACTCTAGATTACAAAAGCTTTTTAATGCTTCAGACATTCGGCTGATCTCAGAATACATAAAATAGAAGGCCAACAAAGCACAAAAAGCGCGTTGGAAGTATTTTAGTTCCTTCAGTTCTGTTGCTATGGGTAATTCCAGTGTGTGGGCGTGATTTAAACACTTACAGAGCATGCTGTATATTATCTATTTGGATGATGAACAACACCGTAGTAATTTGAATTTTATGGTTAAGCACATCCTTTGTTTAGAACAAAAAAAAAGGTTGAATTTGAGGTCTTGGAGCCTTAAAACAATTCTATTGAAATGTGATGATTAATGGCTTACAATCTTTGGGGATTAAAATTGAAATTAAACTTCTCCTTCTCCCTCAGAATAATGTCATCAAGTGCCCGCTATGAGAGGTACAAGGGCAACCAAGTTCTCTTTTGGTAAGTACATATCACTTGTTGGAGTTCTTCGGTAAAAGTGTAAACAATAACAGTGTTTTGCACGTTGTAATATATCGCTTCCTCGGTAATTGTAAGTAGAAGGCTTTGCAAGAGTTAAGCTTGCCCAGAGTGGTTAAAAGCTCTGACAGGAGGCTGTTGTAACAGTAGTACGGTGGTGACATTTGAGAGGTGCCCATGAATTATCAACACAGCTCCCAGGGACAGCAGAGATGTGTCTGTGCACATGCAGGGTGGGTGAAAAAGCCGGTGGTGGCACCGAGCGGTCGGTGACAACTCAGCAGGTGGCACTCTTCCCCCGGCACTGGCACTGCCTGCCTTGGCCGGGCCATGCGGAGCTCAAGCGCTATCTCCTCTTTCAAATTGCTAGAATTAGTATTCTAGCGTAGAATTCTTTTTAAGTTCCTGCTGGGAGGTAAGTGTACCCTTTTTCCCCCTTGTTTTAGCAGTGCTCGTGGTATATTTATCCTCTCGCAGCTTATCCTAGCGCTGTGTGAGGCACATCTTCCAGTACAGCCCAGTCTAAACGAGGTGGTGGTGGGTGCGTGTGACACAGACCTGCTCCGGTGCCGGGTCACTGAGTGGGGCTGTGTGTTGGAGGAGGACGGGGATGTTAAGCTGCAGCTGGGAAGCGTCAGTGCAGCACTCTAGGAAGAGGCAAAATCTACTGCAGTAAGAGTGGGTAAGAAGTTCTGTGCAGACCCCCGGGCTGTTGGCTGAAACGATGGCTCATCCCCTTACCCCGTCTGGGGTCCGGTGGCACGGTGGGAGATGATGCCACCGGGGCGTGTGACGGGGGTGCAGGGAGGGAGGAGTGCGAGGCAGGAGTCAGCTGTAAGGGTCTCGGGTTTTATCTGTAACACTCGACAGGTCCGTGTACTGTTACTGTCTGTGTTGAACTGCTAATCACCTTTGGCACAGAATAAAATTTCTCCTCTATTTGTAGCTTTATGCATGCTTTCACTGGAACGAAATGGGTTTTAGTGAAAATTAGTAGTTTCATTTCAATAAAATTTTAAGTTCACTTAAATGTCAAACTGTAAGGTATAAGAAGCATTCTGGATGTAGAAACTTTAAAAAAAGTTAATTCTTGGTAGCATTCAGTGACAGTTCTTAGGCTTCCAGTCCACACATCAAATTGGTGGAGTGGTAGATCATTGTTTGACTACAATAACATTTTGGAGAATATATTTCTGAGTTGTGGTAAGAAGAAATGAGATATCAATGATTTCTTCTCTTACAGCTCAGAAACTATTGCAAGATGCTGGTATATACTGCTTTCTGGATCTGTGCTCATGAAGGATTCCATGTTTTTACCACCTTGCAGGTATGTAAAATTGTTGTTATTATTATTTAAGGTAAGGCAAGATCTCTTTTTTTGTAAATGCTTTCTTACATGTTGACGTTACTGTAAATTTTTCACAATTTAAAAGTTTTTCTCTAAAGTTCGATAGTGGAAGAAATGCTCTGCTAATTTGATTTAAATTCCCTTTCACTTTTTCTGCCCATTGAAATTGCAGTGTGAAGTACTGCACTTCGTGATTTTAAAATCTGATTTGGCTCTTAAATTCTCTTAGAAACTTAATAGTTATCTTTTTAACTTGGGGGCTCTTTGAATAATTCCTGTTGTATAATATTTTTGTACGGAGTTCTCTGTCTCAGGAAAATATGACTGTAGATCGTATCACTTCTGTGTTTGGTTGGAGGCTGTATTTAGTGACATATGATTTTTATGCGAAGCAAGAAAATGGTCGCCAGCAGCATCGGTTACAGAGAGCACATGACAGGAGTCTGACTGCACCTCGTAGTTGAAGCACAGGGAACGTTGTGACATGCTTTCACTGGAGCATACTATTTGATTTGAGCTGGACCTTGCTCAAGGAATAAATACTCTGAGTAATACTCTGCTTCACCTTGTACATCACTCAGAAATTTCACTTCATTATGTCTTGAAGCTGCATGTTGCGTATTGGTATTCAAGCTGTACTTCTAGGTTAGGCAGGAATGTGTTTTTTATTTAAAAAAAATAAAATTTAAACTTGCCTCGGTACCCAGTTTGGATAGTTTTTGAGGTTATTGAAAGTGCTGCTCTCTCTTACCAAATGAAATAAAAGCTTTCCCTTGTGTGGTGGTTCTGCGGTGAGCAGTGGGGCCCTGGCTTGCTCCTGCTCCATCGCTGCTGGCTGGAGCAGGGCTGCTGCCCTTCTACCCCTAACACAGCGTGATGAGATCAGTAAAGTGAGGATACCAACTTAGTGTCTTCCCTTTCCTCACAAATGCACCTGTACTGAGGGGTTTATGAAACTCGGGTTAGTCAGCGGCGCTTTACTCAGCATGAGCTGACCATGAGACTTAAAAATGTCGACTCCAGCTCAGATAGATTTCCATATACTTGAATTTCATGGGATGTACTAGTAAGAATATACAGGAGTGAGTTTTTCAACTCGGTTCTTGGTTAGCTGTAGGCTGGATGTTAAACTCCCAACGCTCCCTGAGTGGCTGAAGTTCAGCAGTGCCATGAGTGAGGACATGCCAAGCTGGTCATTGCATAAAACCTAGTTAAAAATCATTGCTTTGCTCAGCTTGAGGAATAAGTCACTTAAGAGCATCATTAACATTTTTTGTGCTTTTGCCATTGTTTCATTGTGTGTGTGGTTTTTTTTTTTAATAGATCTTTTATTGCTAGTTCACAAGATTTACATCTATTTTTATGATGTATTACGAAGAAAAATAGCTTAGATGGTGAAAGGGTCCCCGAGTTCTGTAGATGAACCTGCTGGCAGGTGACAGCACACGTGATGTGGCTCCTTATGCAGTGAGGTCTGGTGTAAAGGCAGGAGGGCACTCCTCTGCTGAGCCCTGTCTGCCCTTCATTGCAGGGGGGGGCAAAGGGAAAAATTCACATGTCAGAGGAGCTTTGATATGCTAAAGGTTTGAAGGACACATACAATTAGATGAACTAAAATAACTGTTAATTAAGAGTTACTGAGTGCAGAAGGATGCTGAAAATCTTTGAAACCTTTTTTGTTTCCCCCAGTGCTTTTCACTCTGGGGCCACCTGTAAACTCCTTCTCCCCTCCGCTTCCTCCCTGGGACTCTGAGGCCACACACACAGTGGGGAAGGAAGAGCACAGCTCACTTTCCATTTCACTTGAATCACATTTGTGCGTTGTCCAATCTCAATTTAGAATTTAAAAATCTAATGCTTTTCTGCCTTTTTAAAGTACAGTGGGATAAACCTGTTACTTGCCCTGCTCTGAATACCTCATAGAAGACACTTGTAGCTGAGGGAGCTGCACAGTCACCAATCCCTTACAGCCTATTTTCATATGAAACAGTGCCTTGGATAATTCAGTAGTTTTCTTTCATAATTGTAATTAGCACCATTTTAATTGCATTTAAAGTAATACTTAATGTTATGCATTATTCCTTGTCCCCAACCAAGTTCCTGATTACGTGAGTCATTCTGAAAGGAGGCTTAAATACACAAGTGTAAGGAAACACAATATTGCCTTCATTCTCCTCGCCTCGGATGTTAGAGTTACTTTTGTTTCCTATAAAAAATAATGTTGTTTGTTTCTGGTTTATTATTTTTTCTTAAACTCGTAAGAGCGGAAGTGACCCACAGTATATCATTAGGTGTAAATCATCTTTGAAACCCAGCTTCTTTGTTTTTGCAAACTTTCTGTTAAATGTTGATAACACAGTAAAGATAATTACCAAAATTGATTGTTGGGGGGGTATTCTGGGGGCGTTTTGGGGGGGTTTTCTTGTGTGGTTTTTTTTTTTTTAGCAAAATGTCTTGCTGCAGTTTGGTTTTACTCTGTGTTTTGATTTTCAAAAAATAATGCCTGAGCTCCTTTGGTAATATTATTTACTGTAATAGGAGAAAAAAAAAAAAAGTATGAGCTTAAGAGAGGATATGGAGGACACTTGTCCATTCAAATAATTAATCTTTATCTAATGGAGAGCTGGATGCCATGCTCTATGCCTCATGAGCATATGATCCTATACCTGTATGATATTAGTGAAGTAAACTTCATGGAAGAGTATTTTGTTTGGGATACTGAATTATCTGTGATGTTTTTTGTGGGGTTTTTTTATTTTTAATTTCCACAGCAAGAAAGTGGTGGGCAAATGCAGGGAATTAAAAGAAAACCATGCTTGAAGTGTTCTGAGATTGCTGAAAGGAATGGAGACATCCTTCCAGCCCGTGAGGTTTTTGGTAGGCTTAGTGCTGCTCAGGCACTGGCATCAGATAAAGCTTATCTGTTTGATTTCCTGAATATGGTGTAAGTGTGTCAACACATGAGCAGGGTGAGTGGGGTTAGAGACAGGTGTCATCTGTACAAAAGCGATGCGGGAGACTGATGATGGCTTTGAGACATCCAAGGGGAAAATGAATGAGGACTGAAATAGAATCCTTAATGTGAGGAAGGTGATAACTACCAAGGATGAGAATTCAGGCTTTAATCTGGAGACCTCCCAGTGCTTTGAAAAGGTCAAGAGCCAGGTTTGAATAATTGTCATTCTGGAAGAACTGGGTAGGCAGAGGCATTTTGTAAAACAGATAATAGCAAATGGATTCTGGTTTGAAACTTAATGCCTGCATAGATTTCCTAACACCCCCCACCCCCCCCAGTTATCTCTTTGTAATGTTGGCATGGTAATTTCAATTTGATAGTTGTCCTCTGGAGCGTTTGACAAACCTTCGTATTTAAAGAACTTCCGTACATTTTAGGGTTCTTCTGCCAGGAATACTGGAACAGTTCTTTGTAAAATGTGAGAAGTAGGATACTGGTGTTTTTCAGTTAGGGGAAGCTGGTTTCCTGGGCAATAGAGGGGTTTAAGGCCCCCTTTTCTTACGAAGTCGTTGGTTTTAATCTGTTTTATTTGGCAATCTTTCTTCAAAATTCAGGATTGTATTCTAAACTAACTGCTTAGCACTTTCATTTAATAATTATGAAAAACTGCTGTCCCACTTGATTGTTGGTGAGACACTCTCAGTCTCCGTAAGTAAGACTGGAAGGTGATGATGATTTAATGACTGTTTCCTGCTACCTCCTCACAATACTTGTCCTTTTCCTGTCATCTGCCCCAGGATTACCTTGACAGAGAGGAGGAGACTGCAGTAGACAACTGTAAACCTGCCTAAGATGTTGGTTAAGCTCTCCTCCTTTTGCATGCTTCGTTTCATCCGCTGTCTATCATTCAGTAGTTTCAGAGTCAAGAGAGCATCAGGGAAACCTTCATTTTCTTCTGCAGATCTTTTTGGCATAAAATATTCTATAGATTCAAACCTGGAAGAGGCGTAGCCCCACAGAAGCGTAAGAAGGTGGGCAGCAAGTGCTTTATTAACTTTCTAAAAGTATTTAAATGAGTAAGGGGGTATGCTGTGGCTGGCTGTGCTTGACAAGGACTTTTTGGTCAACTTGGGATGAATTTGTATGCAAGCTGCAGTTCAGAAATCGGTTTAAAAATTGGAGGAGTAAAACTTGCATTGAGGTGCGATAAATCCATTCAATATTCTGACACTGATGATCATGATGAGAAAAGCCCTGTAAGATTTTTAAAGTAAGAGGCAGATCAGTCAGTAATATCGGGTACAAAGATGGCATAACCTTGATTACCCTATCGCTTGGAGAATGGATTTGTCAATAGATTTGGCATAGCAGGAAAAGAATTTGCTTCTAACATGAAAGCGATGGCTAGAACAAAAGAACAGGATTGACAGATTTTGTGGAAGGAAAATCATGTCAGCAAGTTAAAGAGTTTTTGTGTTAACCTTGCTTGTTAATCAAGATAATTCATGTGAACAGGATATTTGAAGGAGATTACTCACAGCAAGATTAGCCATAGGGAATATATCAAGGGCCTGGAGGAACTTTTGAAGCCAATTATATGGATGACAGCCTCCTACAGCTGTGAGAATTGAACCTCGAAGGGAAAAATACAAAGTCTTGAAACATTCAAGATGTAGTCTTACTGAAAACAAACACTTCTCTTTTCTGAGCCCTTCCAAGAAATTAATGAACAGCCCTTCCAAAATCTTACAAGTGGAGAAAAGCAGAATGGTTGTCTGATTCAGGTAGTGCATTTCTTGGCTAAAAACACTTGCTTTATTCAAAACGGACTCATGGCCATATTGTGGTTATTTTTTCATGAGTGTTATTGAGGTGTCAGTGACTCAACAAGCCTGTTCCCAGGTAAAAGGAGAAGGTGCAGATGCTTGGATCAAGAAAATTGTCATAACGAAAGAGGAACTCTGGTTTTGCATTATGAACAGCGGCTTGAGTTGAAGTTATTTTAGCCTATTTTGTATTAAGT